CCACCACCATGCCCCCACCACTGCAAGAGCTGTGCAGCTGCTATTGTCCAGCTTTAGTCAATGCAACGCTAATTGTGCAAAGCGATAACAGCTCTTAACCACTAAGCTGATTACAACTGTACTGACAATTCTGGTCCCTAATAATAATTTTTACGCATATCTCAAATGGTTTTCATTTATTGTGTTGCTCTTGTTATTGTCTGTGCGAGGTTTTGTGAAAAAAGGGTTTTCTCGGATGTGGTTTGTCAAATGTACAGAATAAATGAAAACCATAATAATTTGTATGCAAATCTAAAATGGTTTTCATTTATTGTGCTGTTCTAATCTTGTTCTTGTCTGTGCAAGGTTTTGTGCAAATATGTAGTTTCTCTAATGTGGTTTGTCAAGTGTAGAGGAATAAATAAAAATTATTTGAGATGTGCATATGTCTATGTTTCCTTTATTTTTCATATGATAAAGTATTTTTAGGTAAAACTAGCAATGCAACCACGAGTAAGGGTTGAAGGCCACACACTGAGGCCATCAGAAACATTTGTTTGCTAACCACTGGTCTAACCAATGTAGTCGTGGGGATGTACTGCATTGTTGGAGGTACTACTGTTTAGATGAGACATTAAACCGAGGTCCGTTCTGCTTGTTCAGGCTGATGTTAAAGTCCCAAATCCCTATTCAGAAAGAGAAGGGAAAGAGGAGGCCAACAAAAACTCATTCACCGGATGGCTTATGTGGGACATTACTGTAATAATAATATTCCTTTCATTTAATATAGCGTCTTATCACATAGTGGAGACGTCTCAAAGCATTTCACAGAATATATTATCAAGTGGATTGACAGTATATTTTGTGAGTAAAACTTAAGAGTCAATTGCGCACAGCAGTATTCCACAGTCGGGGATTGAGTGACCAAATTATTTTTATTGTGTAAATTCACCTACAAATACACAGTCACTGCACTTCATGGTAAACATCCTGAGAAACAGTTTTGAGACATCTCGGCGAAATGAAAAGGTGCTATAGCTGTGGTTATCTCAGTGGTTAGAGCACTCGCCTCGCAAGTGAGAGACCTTGGTTCGATTCCCAGTAGGATGAAATGTTGGGCAAGTTTCCTTACTCAACAAGCCTCTGTTTACCTAGCAGTAAGTAGGAACTGGTTGTTAGTCGATTGGTGCTTTGCATTTCCGGTAGTAATAATTTCTTCAAAAAATAATAATAATAAATTGGTAACTCAATCCACGACTGTTTGTGGGACACTGCTGTGTGCAATTAGCTGCTGCGTTTCGCCCACAAAATGTACAGTCAATTCACTTTACCATATATTCTGTGAAGCGCTTTGAGACGTCTCGAAGATGTGATAAGGTGCTATACCAAATGCAAGGATTGTTATATTATATATCAAGTGCGGGGATTATTATTCTCCTTTGGTGAACACGCTGTATAAATGCAAGCTGTTGGTTTAATTCCATTTTTTTTATTGAATCACATTTTAATAGTCTTTATGGCTGGGTTTTCATCTGTCATTTTGTAAAAGTTTTGTAATGATGATCTGGTATTTTATTGTCGAAGCAAATATTTGCTGTATAACACTTGATTTTTCTCAGTTCCAGTAAGTAGCTCCAAAGGAAACAGCTGAAGGAGCAGATGGAGTTCATTGTTGTTAGAAATAAAGGAGCTCGAATCCACAGCAGGGCAAGCTGCTAGATAATGAAGCTGAGCTGCACAAATACCATGTCAACATTGTGGATAAAATCTTAGGTCTTGAAAATCTGGTGTATTAGCATTGTGCACCTGTATAATGACTATTCTCATGCTGTGTGCATGCACGTATTGTAAATGTGTCTCCAGGTGGCGTAGTGGCTCATCTCTCATTCCTAATATGCCCGTGCAATGCCACTGATGGGTATTTTCTTTTAGATAAAGTGGCTGCAGTGGCTCATTTATTGGACCACTTATCTAATCTTGGATAGCAAGCTCTGCAGTACACAGAGAATACCCCAAATGCATACAGGCCATCGGTCAATGTGACATAAAACCTGGCTTTTGAATCTCTTTTCTGACGGAGCAGAAATCCAGCTGGAGAACAAGCCCTACAATTCTGTGTAAAATGTTATATGAGATTGAAAAAGTAAACCGAGAACAATACTTTTGACAGTAAAATAATAATAATAATAATAATCCTTGCATTTGATATAGCGCTTTTCACGTCGGGAGGACGTCCCAAAGCACTTCACAGAACACACTGTAAAGTGAATTGACTGTATATTTGGAGGCGAACGCGGCAGCCAATTGCGCACAGCAATGTTCCACAAACAGTCGTAGATTGAAAATGACCAATTTATTATTGTTTTTGTTTTTTGGAGGGATTATTATTAGGCGTGTAGAGTAAGGAAACTTGCCCAAGTGCCCTGAGATCTCATATTTATTGAAAGCACTTTAAATGCAAATTGGCACCTCACACCACATCCTTGGAGTTACTTGCATCATGGGATGCACTTGCAAAGCGAGTGCTCTAACCACTGAGCTACAGGACTCCACAAGAGTTCATGGATTTAGAGTTGCAAAGGGCAATTCAGGACATGTATCACAAAGTTTTTCTTCCCTCGTGCTTTAAGCCCTTTACAGAATTACACCCATTGGAACAGCACAAAATTTAATATTGCTTATAATGCTTAGGCTCGGCTATTTTTATGGGAATAACTTTAGGTTACAACAGGATAGTAGAACAAAAGGACATGGGTTAAAGACGCGAAGGAAAATTTCGGAACATTACAAGGAAGTTTTTCTTTACTCAGAAAGTAATTAATGATTGGAACAGGTTGCCAGGAAATGTGGTTGAAGCCTGGACACTGGACTCATTTAAAAAGCAGCTTATTGCTTTGATGGGAAGATGGTAGGGTGGGTGTTCTAGAAGGACGAGATCAAATGGGCCGAAAGCCTTCTTCATCCAAACTTCTGATCTCGTGCTGAAAAATGAAAGATGCTTTAAATATTATAACAAAAGTAGCGTTGACTTTATTTACAACTTGCATTCGTATAGTGTCTTTGATGTAAAGTAAGGTCTCAGAGCACTTTACAACAAGAAAAACAAAATTACATTTATAGAGTGTCTTTCACGTCGGGAGGACATCCCAAAGTGCTGAAAAGTCAGGGCGGGACCCGAACATGGGGGAGGGTTAGTGTAGGGGTGAGGGAAGGGAGAGAGGTGGGAAGGCGACCAAAGACATGATCGAAGAGAAGGGTCTTAAGACCGGCCTTGAAGGAGGCACGGGAGGAAGCGAGATGAAGGAACCGTGGGATGGGGTTCTTCTGGGGGAAGAGAGGCTGAAAGCCTGGTCACCGATGGTAGGGCCGGTCGGGTGGGAGACATGGAGCAGGCCAGAGCCTGTTGAATGGAGGCAGCTGGCATGTTGGTACAATGATAGTGTCAGACACCGAGCAGGAGAAGGGGGAGAGAGGAGGTTGATGATAGTTATATTCCAAGAGATAGCTTCTTAAAGTGGCTTTTGAAGATAATTAGAGAGAGGATGAGACACAGGAATAGAAGGAGAGAGTTCTGGTGGTGGGAGGAGAGGGTGGGGTGGGGATAGAAGGATATGGTACCAGTCTGATTTAGATGCATATGCCTCAGTCCCAGTGCTGACAAGATCTGTTCAAATATGATGCTTGTTAATGGTTTTAGGAAGTAAAAAATAATCCAAATTAGTCGAGTTCAGACCCCCAGAAGTAATCATAAGCTGTACAATGCTTTTGTCAGGCTGAACCTCAACTATTGCATATATTCTGTGTGTAATTTGGCTGCCGGGCTTGACCACAAACACATCCAGTCACATAACTTTGCCGTGTATCCTGTGACATGCTTTGGGACACCCTCCTAATGTGAAAGGCGCTATACCAAATGTAAGAATGATGATGATTATTATTATTATTATTAATTATACAGCCAGCAGTATATTAAGGGAGTTATCTTTTAGAAGTGACCCTCTAGTAGTACACAAAATACTAAATGACACAAAGAAAGCAAACCAAAAATAGTACAAGAGACTGCAGGCTCAAGGTTGTGATGGGCAATTATAGTACAGACAACCAAGGGAGTCCTGTGGCTCAGTGGTTAGAGCAATCGCTTTGCAAGCGAGAGACCTGAGTTCAATTCCAGGCAGCGCGAAACCTTGGGCAAGTTTCCTTACTCCACACGCCTAATAATAATCCCTCCAAAAAAACAAAACAATAATAAATTGGTCATTTTCAATCCATGACTGTTTGTGGGACATTGCTGTGCGCAATTGGCTGCCGTGTTCGCCCACAAATATACAGTCAATTCACTTTACAGTATATTCTGTGAAGCACTTTGGGACATCTAGAAAACGTGAAAAGCGCTATATCAAATGCAAGGATTATTATTATTATTAAGGGCCCCGCAATTGCACCTAATCTAAGCCTGTAAGACCACTTTGTCTTAATATTAAAGATCACACAGAATTGTGGAACATTCTTAAATTTGGTCTTAATTTAGACTCTTCTTCCATTTACAAACTGAAGAAAACTGATTTTGGTTACCCTTCCACCATACCTTGCCCTCCACCACTGCTGATTCCAATCCACAATTCGGGTGAAAGTCTTGATTGTCCAGCATCCAGGAGCCACAACTAGTTTTATTAGTCTGAGACTAATAACACTAACGCTCCTGACTACTGATGTAGCTGAGATAAGCCTTATCATGCTCATAATCAAGCCTTGCACGTCTCCAAGCAGCATCTTTCAGCTATCAGGATAGCTGAGTCATGATTCTTGAACCGTACATCTTACCTTATGCTGGAACAGAGATGTTATATACAATGTTATACATAATGTTGTAAAATTAATTTGAATGAAGAAGGCCCTTAGACCCATTTGATCTCATTCTTCCTAAATGAGCCACCCTACCTTCCTTCCTTTACAACATCAAGCTCTATCTTAAATCAATCCAGCACCGTGGCTCAATCACCCTTCCTATTCTGGTCCCATGGAGTCCTGTAGCTCAGTGGTTAGAGCACTCGCCTTACAAGCGAGACACCTGGGTTCAATTCCCAGCAGGGCGAAACCTTAGGCCAGTTTCCTTACTCCACATGCCTAATATAATCCCTCCAAAACAAAACAATAATAAATTGGTCACTTCAATCCACGACTGTTTGTGGGACACTGCTGTGTGCAACTGGCTGCCGCGTTTCGCCCACAAATATACAGTCAATTCACTTTACAGTCTATTCTGTGAAGCGCTTTGAGACATCAAGAAGATGTGAAAAGCGCTCTATTAAATGCAAGAATTATTATTATTATTATGGTCATCAATTGCCTACCTCTGGGTAAAGAAATACTTCCTGTTGTCTATCCTGATATTATCCTTTGCAAACATAAACCCTTGTCCTCTTGTTTTTCTGTCTTGGCACACTTCAGAATCTATACTAACTCAACATTGAAACCATTGCAAACTACATAATGTAACTGACCCACAGCAATTTACTCTAAACTTGAAAAAAATATCTGAAGGAGTGGAAGTTGTAATCATCTGAGTGATGTCTCTTAAAGGATATGTCAGTGCGCACTCATCCCTGAAACTTTCAAGCTAATCTCCTGTTATCATTGACATCCATCATAATCACACTGCCTTAAACCTGCTAAATAATTGTGGCTGCAAAGGAAGTATTAAGAGTCAGAACCACCCAGTAGAAATAATTAGGGGTGTCTGTACACATAGGAAGCTGTGATCATGAAAGGTGGAGTGCAACAAAGCAAGTCCTTAATTTTGTTGGTCAGCAAAATAAAATGTCCATGAATAACACAATCCTCCAAGAAGCAATTTTGACAGTGCCAAATGCGAAATCCTTCATGTCAGATCCAGTTAGTTCAAGGACATTGACCGATGCATGCACATCACTCGCTTGACTACAGTTTAGACCTAGTCTGCAGCTCGCCTCAGCACATGTAAATTGCTCACCTAATCTTTAGTAATGGTAAAGTCCCATTTCCAATGAGGCTGGATTTTGCCCAATTCTCAGTAAACAAGGGTGAGCAGTCTTGGTGAACTATGATATATAGACGGAAATCCATTTATCAACGTGAATAATATTTCCCGTCCCACAATATCACATCGACACTCATGGAATACAGTTTTCATGAATGGAAAAAAAGTATGCAGTGAGGATCCTGATAGTAATCCATGGGTGATATTATCAATCATCCACAGCAAATGTCAATGTCTAATGAAGCATGTTATTTTCGTATCAGGAATGGAAGGACAAGTAACACTTGTCATTCTCAGAAAGGGTAATCAGTAGTTACAAGCCTCCCTGAGCATCTGTCACCATCATTAAATTAGTTTAACGCGTAATAAACAACCTTCTGTTTCTGTCAGCACAAAAAAACAGAAAGGCAAAATTCAACACATCTCCCTTGGTTGACTAACAATAATGGAAATTACGTGAGGGAAATCCGCTGCTAATTTTAAAAGATCTCTATGTTTTTCTGAGTTGATTACAGTGGGGATTTCTGGTTTATTACCAGTTTTTGCTGTGCCTTTCCCATGGGAATTTTGGATCATTTCAATGATTAGGCCAGGGACTTCATAAGTCAGTCTAGCAGTAATGAGTGAGATGGAAACTTTTGCATTAAATTCATAAACAAACTGTAAACCTCAATAACACTTCCAACCTGCCATTTCAAACAGTGAAAAGCGCATGCTGCAAATAATAAAGAGTTTTGCATTTGATGTAGCACCACATCACATCAAAATGACTCGAACTGTGCCAGCTGACACACTTTACGGAGGAACCCTTTATTTTTTCCAGTGATAAATTGTTAAATATGAAATAGATTTATGGCCATTTTGAAATTTTGTGCGAAATGATATCACTGCTTCTTAGTCACCTGAAAAAGTACCTCCAAAGTACCAATTTGGCCCTACAGAAATCTCTGTGAATCACAGACTTCAGCTCATGTGAGATTTTAGGTCAGAGTCCACATCTTATGAGTTTGTGTGGTATATAACGTTGTCCATGTGAAAACGATGTATCAATTCCTATTAACACAGGCCCAAATTTCACCTAGGCTTAGCCTATACAATCTTTTGGTCTTGAAACTTCAGATCTTAAATTCAGTCTTAATTTGGAAGCCGGTTCTTTTCCAGAGCTTTTTAAACCAATTTCCAGATTAGACTAAATTGAGGAATTTTTCATCATTGTGCATTACTGTAAATTTTAAGATTAAATTGTTTTATCGTCTAAGACAAGGTGGAATTTGGGGCCTAACCTTTCCAGCGAATAGCTGATATTCTGCCTAGAATGGCAGGCAAGTATAACAAGAGAAATATACTGTACATGCAATAAAAGTTAGGAATATGGTAACAGAACAGTTAGTTAGAATATTTTAGGTTACTTGGCTTTCTTTATTATTTGATTCTATCATTGGTATTTTGTTATGAAGTCTTTGGGCTAGAAATTCCATATTCTACATAGGAAAATGAAGATTTCAAATCTGACACAATTTCACATGTTACAGAAACTTCTCCCATATCACATGGCAAAGTACCACCCAGTCCATGGGTTGATCGGCACATTGATATCTCCACAAAATATTTCCAAACTGCCTACAGCACTTTAGCATGTAAATTGTTGAAGCACTCTCCAAATTCCATGGACAATGTAAATTCACATTTCACCAAGTGCATTCTGTCATTCAATAAAAGTCCAATAACTTGCTTCAAATAATTTTTGATATGAGCATTTTATAGTGGATATGTAAGATGTTAAATGGGATTAAGAAGGTAAAACATTAATGCACAGACTACACAAATGCAACAGAACAAGAGAGCTCGTTGCCCAATCTGATCTCTTCTTTCCAGAATATCCATTGCAACATCAAGCTGTTTCTCAAATGAGTCCAGTGTCCTGTTCTCAACATATCTCCTTGGTAAACCATTACAGTTATTGAACAACCTCTGAGTAAAGAAACATTTCTTGGTGTCTCTCCTAAAATTGCCTTTATAACACTGAGCTTGTGAAATTGTGTCAGATTTGAAATTTTCATTTTCTACCTAGAATACGGAAGCTTCCATCATGTCCAGGCTTGACTACACTTATTCCCTGCTTGCTGAACTTCCCAACTCTTCCCTCCACGAGTTGCAGCTTATTCAGAACTCTGCAGCTCGTGTTCTCTCCTGTACCAAGCTTCATGAGCTGATCACCCCCATCCTTGCTTGGCTTCACTGGCTCCCCATTCACCAGAGGATCAAGTGTAAGATCTGTGACCTCATGTATAAAGCCCTCCATGATCTTCCTTCTCCCTATCTCTGCAACCTACTAAAATCTTGTCAACCTGCCTGCTTCCTCCCCCGGCAGGCACTGGTCTGTTCAGCCTTTCTACACCCCGACCCTCTGGAACTCCATCCCAAAGTCCCTTCACCCTGCCCCTCCCTTGCCTCCTTCAAGGCCCACCTCAAGACCTTCCTGTTTCACTGTGACTTTGATCATTCTCCCACCTCCAGCCCCTTGCCCTGGTCCCTCTTGACTCCAGCCTCATCCTTGATTGCAAACCTTTCACTGTCCATCCTCCTAACTTGAAAGGCGCTAAATAAATGCAATTTGTTGTTTGCTGCTGTTGTTCTGCTTCCTGGGTGTATCTAAAAATACTGTTCTAGGTTTACTTTCTCAATCTCATTTAGCTCTCCTATACCCCTATAAAAATCGTCTCCAAAGTTTTGTTTCAAGACTGTTTTTCTAGTCGTTCTTCATCGTTTGTATCTACACTGTCTTTACGGCCTGGGGAGCTTCCTTAAGTCAATGACCAGCACAGCTATGATTGAGGTCCTGCAAATGAAACAATGTGTGTTGGATGTTGGACAACATACTTTTAGTGTCCTTCCTTGTAGAAACCTCCAAGAAATAGGTATTTAAAATGTTTGCTATCTCCTATATGTCCTCTTTTTCAACCTGCTGTGGGGTTGAAAAGTGCTTTGATATTTACCAAAGTAGACAGATCACCTCTCTTAGACAATATTTTAATTATTTAGCAATTGGGCTCGACTGCCAAAACTGTGACGTTTAAATAATTAATCATTACCATTTAAGTATGAAAGAAGAACATATCAGAGGAACTTATATAAATGTATGTATTTTGCTCCAGAAATAAAAATCAGATGTACAAGGAACATCAGAACAGGAGTCAGTCCATCGAGATTGTTCCAGCATTTTCTTAGTTCATTTTAAAGCCTTCACAACTGGATATAAATCCTCGACTTATCCTTTCAAATTGCCAATACCTAGTAACTATATTCAACTCATTCATATTAGATGGGATTCAGAAGAGCATCAGAAAAAGCTCAATGTTCTATACTATAGTTAATAATAATAATAATCCTTGCATTTGATATAGCGTCTTATCACATCTTCGAGACGTCTCAAAGCGCTTCACGAAATATACTGTAAAGTAAATTAATTGTATATTTTATGGGCGAAATGCGGCAGCCAATTGTGCACAGCAGTGTCCCACAAACAGTCCTAGATTGAGTGACAAATTTAAAAAAAATAATTTAAGGAATTTTTATCCCTGGAAAAGCGATCCGCCAATCGATTAACAACTAAGTTCCTACTCACTGCTAGGTAAACAGTGACATGTGGAGTAAAGAAACTTGCCCTACGTTTTGCCCTGCTGGGAATCGAATCCAGGTCTCTGGCTTGCGAGGTGAGTGCTCTAACCACTGAACTACAGGACTTCTGTGTTCCACAGAAAACAAAATACCTTCTGTGTTTTCTCACTTGTGCTTTTCTTTATAAGTTTCCTTGATAAAGAATCTGAGTCACACAAATGTGGATTATATGAATACTGCTGCAATTACTACTAATATTAACAATGCTTGATATAATGGTAAGGAGACCATCTCAAAGCGCTTACGGGATTTACTGTAAAGTGAAGCGATTGTGTATTTTGTGGCTGAACTTTAAAGCTAATTTATGCACAACAATGTTCCATAAACAGCCACAAAGTGAATGACCAATTTTATCTGGGATACTTTGGCCAGGACACCTCCATTCTCTTCTTTGAATAA